GCTTTGCTCCTTCTTATCTGCTTTCACTTCTTCAGATTTTTATGTCTTGAAGAAACGACTAAACTCAATTATTTAGTCTCCATTTTCCTTCCTAATCTGCAATTGCAACTCTGGCTCCACCGCTAACTGTATTACAAAAAAAATAAAAACAATTACTAATGTTTTGCTTCTTACACTTTACATAGCTGAAACTTGCCTACAGCACTTATTCATTGTTGTTATAGTTGTGTAAATTGCTTCCATGTCCTTATTTGTAAGTCGCTTTGGATAAAAGCGTCTGCTAAATGTAAATGTAAATGTAGCAGTAGTTTCTTCTGCAGACAATCAAAAATATATATTGCTTTAGAGGGCTAATAATATCGACCTTAAAATAGGTTGAAGCCTGAAGAAAAAATATTATAGAAAATACTGTGAACAATTCCTCTGTTAAACATAATTTGGAAAATATTTGTATATTAAAAAAAACAAAATTCACAGGAATCATGTGAAAATAAAAGTGATTTTATTTGATTTTATTTGATAAACAAAATACAGTCATAAATAAACACAATAGAGCAAATATTAAAGGGAAATAAACAGTAACAATGAAGATTTTAACAGGATTTGGTTTAAAAAAATTGACTAATCAAATGTAAATGAACAATGGATAGCTTTCATCATATAAATTGTTCAATAAAATGAATCTTTATTGAACTTCTATATGCTCTATTAAAATACTTACATAATCACAGGCCTTAAAAACACATGCAGACAAACTTCCACTCTATTATGCTTAAATCCTGCGGAGTCTCCATAAAGCTCATGTCATCTCAGCATTCCATGTCCTGTGATGTGACTATTGCGGACGCACACATACCGATATCGATGCTGAAACTATATATTGTGCAGGCCTAATATGAATTGTATAATTGTAGTGCTATTTTTTATTTTATTTACATCATAAACAATGATTTAAGCCAGTGTTTCTCAACCACGTTCCTGGAGGACCACCAACACTGCATGTTTTGGATGTCTCCTTTTTCTGTCACACCCATTACAGGTGTTTCAGTCTCTGCTAATGAGTTGATGATCTGAATCAGGTGTGTTTGGTTAAAGAGACATGGAAAATGTGCAGAGCTGGTGGTCCTCAAAGAAAGTGGTTGAGAGACACTGATTTAGATTTTAAACTTTAAATTATAAAGTGAAAAGCTTGTTGGTCAGCCTTGTAAAATAATAATACTTCATTAAAGCACTTGTACAAAACAAAAACAGTGGACCTGCTGAATAAAATTCCTGTTTAAACGGTATTTAAAGGTCCCATGAAGTGCTTTAAAATGTGTGTTTTTTTTTTTATTTAATTTTTGACATAATCTCACCTAAAACATAATGACAGGGTGGGACTTATAGTAGCCCCTCCTCTTTAAAAAAAAACAGCCAACATTGCATCAGCTCTGTTCTTTCCTTTAGGAACGGCTCACTGTGCTAACATGTACCCGGCCAGAGCTGAAGACCTTCCTCAACTGGGTTTAGCACGAGACCGCATCTTCATCCTGCTCCAGAAGTGGCTGGCAGAGTGATTGACAGCTGCAGCAGCCAATCAGAAGCACAGGGGTGTTTATTGGCCAATCACATAATTCTTCCTGATGGTACTGACTGAGGATTATCCACTTTGTCACAGTTTTTAAAAACAATCACAAATCCAAAATCAGTTTTGTATGTAATTTGTTTATAAAAATGAATGAATGAATGTTTTGGGGGTTTTTTTCTTGATGTAAATGACTTTGTATATTTTACAGCAGAGGTTTCACAATAAAGGAAATTGAATGATGTCGACAACATTACTTGTGATTGATTTCATAAGTTACAAATATTTAGTTGGTCGAAAAAAATGCTTAATATTAATAATAATAATACTCAACTCATTTAATGTTTATTTCCAGGGCCGGAGTGGGACTCCTTTGTAGCTCTGGAGTTTAGTCCGGCCCACCTCAGTCGACGACTGACAATATTAAAATAACGTCATTTCCAATTCAGTTTCTAATGACACTAACATGTCTTTTTCAAGGACACAGCTGGTTTAGAACTTCAAATGTTTTTCATAAATATGCGAACATTAATTCTTTATAGATATCCAGTACTTTGTAACGGTCGTCACACAAAATAATAAAATATGTACCCCTACATAAGTAACCCAAACTGTATTTTACTGTCTTAACACTGAAAATGAAAAAAAACTATACTCTGGTGAGGTTCAAACACAGATAGGCGGCGTAGTAACATAACGTGCTACCCACTAGACCAGTGGTTCCCAAAGTAGGGGTCGGGAACCCCCGAGGGGTCGCGGGGCAATGAAGGGGGGTCGCCTGGTGATTTCCTAAAAAAATTTTATTTATTTTTATTAAACCATAAGAATTAACATATTTTATCCATAACTATACTGAAAATAAAAATAGTTGTTTATAGTTACTATATACTATATAGTTACTATAGTAGCTTATAGTTACTAATTCTATTGGATTGCGACCCCTGGGGTAATTACATTATATTAAAGGCAGCAATAGCGTCAGATGCATTTTGATTTTATAACATCAGGTTATACTTTCTGGCACATTTAAAGCACTGACACAAATTTAATTGGTGTGTCTGCGTCATTGCATTCAAGGTTTCTGTATTTATAACCACCTCAGAGGATATTGGGGGTCGCGAGTCACTGGCATTGTTATTTTGGGGTTCGCAGGCTGAAAAGTTTGGGAACCCCTGCACTAGACCACGATGACGCTGTAAAGCACTGCGCTGTTATCTGCTGCTATTGATGTCTATTCATTTTGTACCCTACTCTTTTTCTCCCCTTTTTAGATTTCCGATCGTTATGTCAGATTTATTAATGTAGTGAATCATCTGATTTTTTATGAGCAGTTGTATTATTCATTAATATTAATTAATATTTACTAAGGTGCCGCTGTTTGGGGTGAAAGGGGGAGCAGCCCGCAGGTTAATGGTGATCATCATTAACCTGCGGGCTGCATTTTGCTCACGGGGCTGCGGGAAAATAAATAAAAAGAGCAGAGCTGCTGCAAAATAATGAATAAAAAGAGTGAGGTTATGGTCAAATAAACAAATAAATGAAAAAAGTGCGACTGCTGAGAGTGCAAGCATGTTGGGACACCAGCCCTCGCAGTCAAAAAACAGACCGGCCCACCGGGAATTCTCATAGTTCTCCCAATTAGCCAATCCAGGCCTGTTTATTTCTATAGCACTTTTACAATGTAGATTGTCTCAAAGCAGCTGAACATAGAAGATTATAGTAAACTGAAACAGTGTCAGTTCAGTTTTCAGAGTTGAAGTTTAGTTTAGTTTCGTTCAGGGTGGTTTAATTTTCACTGCTGAAATTCCAAACACTGAAAAGTAAATCCATCAGTGCATAGCTCCACAAGTCCCAAACCAAGCAAGCCAGTGGCGACAGTATATGATTCATTCGTTCATTTCATTTTCAGCTTAGTCGTTTCTTATTTAATCAGGGGTCGCCACAGCAGAATGAACCGCCAGTGGTGATATATATTTAATAATATTTTTTATAATGAAGCTATATACCAACCTCAAATGCTATACCATAATCATAGATTTGCATAGTAAAATGCAAATCTCGGCTTCCATAAAAATTGAATCTATATTAAAAATATTTTAGCTTTGACATGATAAAATATTTTTGGCCCCAATTGCCTTCCATAAAATTTGATAAGATTCATTTGAAGAATTTTGGCCCTAATCATCTTCCATAAAACACAAGACACTCTGATATCTCAACAGAAATGAGTCTTTTCTGTAATGTCTGTAATTTTCTGTAATGCAAGACTAGAATGTATGTTTAATTTACTGTGCATCCGGTAAGGATTCATATCGCTTCACTTTTTCCACATGTTTTTATGTTACAGCCTTATTCCAAAATGGATTAAATTAATTTATTTCCTTAACATTCTACACACAATACCCCATAATGACGATGTGAAAAAAAGAGTTTTTGAAATTTTTGCTAATTTATAAAAAATTAAAAACCTGAGAAATCACACATACATCAGTATTCACAGCCTTTGCTCAATACTTTTGTTGATGCACCTTTGGTAGCGATTACAGCCTCAAGTCTTTTTGAATATGATGCCACAGGCTTGGCCCACCTGTCTTTGGGAATTTTTGCCCATTCCTCTTTACTAAAATTTACTAAAAACTCTTTACTAAATTCCACATTACTAAATGGTTCTGCGAAAGTACCAAAGGTATTCATGCATTTTATTTAGTATTATATTACTATATGTTACTATGTTCCCAAGCTTTATAAACACCATCATGTGGTAAATAAGCTACTGTTAAGCATTGTATAATCATGGTATTTTTTAGTTAGTCATACCTTCAGAATGAGGTTGCTCAACAGTTGTGTTCTAATGCTAATGTTTTATTGCTTTGTAATCATCATATTTGTCCGTGTGGGTGTCATTTCCTGTTTAGATGATGAAAGGTTTAACTAAAGGCATAGTTCATTCAAACGTGAACAATTCCTCACCCTTTACTCACCCGGATGTGGTTATACATTTTTATGAATTTCTTTCTGATGTTGAACACAAATTGAGATGATTTGATAAGTTTCTGAGGAAAAACAAAACATTCGTTGTTGGAACAAAAAATCACTATGAAAGTCAAAAACTGCTTCCAACAGTCTTAAACCTATCTTCATTTGTGTTAAACCGAAGAAAGAAAATTGAAAAAAAATGACTGAATTTCAATTTTTGTGTGAACTATCCCTTTAAATTTTCGCCAAGGGAATACGCTGAAGGCTTGGCTCATGAATATTAATTACGTAGAGGCGTTGGGCAGTTGTTGCTCTTGCGTGGTTGGACGTCAGTCGAATGACGACATGGTTACCTAATTAATATTTAAAACATTTTGTTGTTGAAGTATTCATGAGTAGGCGGAGTCCGGCGCTCAGGACTGAGAGAAATAAATAAACGGAGGCGCGGTAGTTTTTCGTGAGGAGGAACACGAACACTCGCGGAAGACACGAGCTCTCCATCTGCCTGAATTAAGAAGTTGAGGTGCTTGGTACAGGTTAGTGGAGAATATTATATGATTTTTGCATCTTATTTGGTTCCATATTGGCTCTCCGGTTTGTTTTAAATGCAAATGAAGCATCTGTTGAGCCTGTTTTAATATCTACAGTACTTGTTTGTTTATATCGAGGACTAAGGATGACTAACACGCATGAGGATGACTTGTTTTTGGAGCTGTTTTGAGCCCCGCTGCTCTTTGCTCTCAGTCTGTGTTTTAAAGCCTATAATTAAACACTCTTGCTGAAGCTGCTAGCCTATAAAAAGTTTACTGCGGTCATCGGAAAATAACGCTTTAATGAAAACACGGTTTACTGCTGCACCGCTACATCAGATAAACTGTAACGATATTACAACTGTAACGCATGAACTGTTTTACAAGTTCATACAAGACATATTCCTTCAAGATAAAATTAATTATCTACGCTTTGTCTAACTGCAAGTTGTTCAAAACTAGTTTTAAAGACTGATATAGTGGTTAATGTTATCCAGCTGACCACAGATCAGTTAAACTGTCATGAGACTTCGTGTAGAGCTGATCAGATTATCTGACTCATCGTCTACATTTAAATCAGACAAAATGAGGTACGTTTTTAGACATGTTTTAGACGTGAAAACTCTGTTTACGTTCAGTGTTGCGTTACAATTGATGCGAGTTGCAAATCACTTTTCTAAGTAACGAGTAAAGTAACGCGTTACCTTTTTAAAAGTAATTTTATTTGAGTTACTTTTTATAAAATGTAATGCAGATTATGTTTTAGTGCCATTAATTAGCTTTTAAAAAATATATAGCTTTATTAAAATGAAGTAGCCACAAACAATGAATCATACTGTCAATGGGAGAATGTGTTCATTATTTTGAACGCATGGAAGAAAAGGAAACAGGAATTATAGTCTTAATGGACAGTGATTTTACTTAAGACAAATATAGTACAAAAGTAGCAAACATATGCTTTAAACTTTTAATAACTGTATATACAGCACGCATAGAGCTCTGGTCAGGAAGTTCACAGATAACATTATCATAAAATTATTATATTTTTTTATAGTTTTTTTAAAGGTAAATGTGTAGGTTATACAGTGTGCTGTTAATTGCAGAACTCCTATAAAAAAAAAAATTAAAAAAAAAACAAGTTCTAAAAAAGATTAAGCCTCAGCCAGGTAATAAAAATTAACGCAAAAGTAACTGTAAAGTAACACAATTAGTTACTTTTTGGGGGGTTATTCAATATTGACTATGTCACCATGTCAGCCATGTCACCCTGCAGCCCAAGACCGGTTACTCACTGAAGCTAAGCAGGGCTGAGCCTGGTCAGTACCTGGATGGGAGACCACTAGGGAACACTAGGTTGCTGTTGGAAATGGTGTTAGTGAGACCAGCAGGGGGCGCTCAACCTGTGGTCTGTGTGAGTCCTAATGCCCCAGTAAAAGTGGAGGGGACGCTACATTGTCAGTGGGCGCCGTCTTTCGGATGAGACGTTAAACCGAGGACTTTAGCTAAGATTTTAGGCAAGGATTTCTCAAAGTTATTTACAATAATGTTTATAAAACATTTAATGTTAATAAATGGAATGTTCTATTATTCATAATGTTAATGGAACATTTAAACAATGTTGTATAATATTCTTAAACGGTTAACAAAAACACAAAAAGGTATTTATATGTCATTGGTGGACTTTTTCTGAAATATTTCTTTAATCAATACATTTTATTCATTTTTTTACATTTATTTTTAAAATTAAAATGACTTAAGATGAATATAAAGAACGTTTCGTATTAGGCTTGGGCTGGTATAAGATTCTGACGGTATGATAACCTTGGATAAAAATATCACGGTTTCACGGTATTGTGATCACTGCTCTAAAATATATTCTTTTTAATTGTATGGGTAAAAAACAAACTTTTTTCCCTTTTAAACACAATATATTTTATTTTGAGAAAACATTTAAAATATTTCGGAGCAGTAAACATGTCAGGCTGAATAAATTATTGGCTTCTACTGTCTTCATTTGTTTCAAAAAAAGTTTTTTTTTTTTTACAATTTAAAGCGGCATCTTTTCTGCTGTAGATATTGTTGTCCTAAAAAAACAAAACAAAACAAAAAAATCTTACACATCCCTTAGGAACAATATTGCCAAATATTTTGATGGTTTTAAAACCTTGACTTTTCCAAACTGCGGTATACCTTAAAAACAAATATCGTCCCATGCCTATTTCGTACTTAAACTGAATCTTAAACTGAGTATTAGCATATCAATGTAACTATTTTTTTTACATTTAAAAAAAAAATAAGAATATAAAAAAATTTAACTAATTTTTGTTAGCTTAGATAAACGGTTTGTGTCTTGAGGACTTTAGCTATTGTTCTGGCAAGGTTTTCTCAAAGTTACTTCCAATAATGTCTATAGAACATTTAATGTTAATAAATAGAGTGTTGTATTATTTGTAATGTTAATAGAACATTTAAACAATGTTATATAACGGTCTCAAAAAAAAGAAATATTTTTGTTTAATGTTTAAATCATTACATTTTTTAAATATTTATTTTTATTATGAAAATGATTTAAGATTTAAATAAAGTTTCGTACTTAAACTGATTTTTGTTAGCTGGGTTAAACTGAATGTTTATAGAACATTTACAGTCAATAAATAAAAAAGTTCTGTTATTCATAATGTTAATAGAATATTTAAACAATTACATGCTCAAGAAAGTTAACAAAAACAACGTGTTTAAACGTCATTCGTGGACTGTTTTCTGAAAACTACCAACTACATAAATACCACTATCAAGAATGAGTGTTTCAGCTAAAACTTAACTTTTATATATTTTTATTATTTTTATTTTATAAATATATAAGTTTTGTTAAATTTTTGGGGTGAAGTATTAGTCAACACCTCTATAGGCATAATAGGCATACATCCATATGATAATTAGGCAGATACTGGTAACTTTATTAGAAGTGGAAATAGTCTGATGCCTATCTATTTTGACATTAATCTGAATATAAAAACAGAACACAAATAAATACAGGGAACAACTTGTTTTATATATATATATATATATATATATATATATATATATATATATATATATATATATATATATATTTTTTTTTTTTTTATATATATATATATATATATATATATATATATATATATATATATATATATATATATATAGCATCAAGCATTTGCAAATTGTAGTCTAAATTATTTAATTGTTTTTCTGCACTTTTGGGTTTCAGAATAAAAATTAGTTTTTGTTTTGTTATTGTGATCAAACCCAGAAAAATTTATCTTCATCATATTATATCCACTAATAGTAACAAATAACCAATAGTTGCCAGTGTCTGCTTAATTTTCATAAGGATGCATCCCTGTTTAGGACAGAGTTGTTAATCAATAGTTCACCCCAAAAATATAATAAAAAATAATATTAATAAAATAGAGGGTGGAGGCATGGTGGCTCAGTTGTCAGCACTATCGTCTCACAGCACGAAGGTTGCTGGTTCGGTTGGCTATTCTGTGTGGAGTTTGCATGTTCTCCCCGTGTTGGTGTGGGTTTCCTCCAGGTGCTCCAGTTTCCCCCACAGTCCAAACATATGTGCTATAGATGAATTGATGAACTATATTGGCCCTATGAGTGTGAATGAATGTGTATGGATGTTTCCCAGTACTGGGTTGCAGGTGGAAGGGCATTCGCTGCGTAAAGCATATGCTGAATAATTTTGCTGTTCATTCCGCTGTGGTGACCTCTAATTAATAAAGGAACTAAGTTGAAGGAAAATGAATGAATTGATTATTAAAATTAAAATAATAAGAAATAAAAGTAAAGTTTTACCTGAAACACTGATTCTTGGTAGTTCACATAAAGACTAAACCAAATTAATACCTTCAAACTGATACATTGAAGTTAAATTATCATTCTGTGAAAGAAAATTAGCGTTATTTACAATATTATTAAATTATCCACTGCCTCATCAAATGCTTCTGCCCACGTTCACTTCAGTTTTAGGTGAACTGTAACTTTAAGACTGAGTTTGAAATGTTCATGAAGGATTGTTTGTTTACACTGTTTTAATATGCCGTTAAATGGTCATAATATTTGTTAGGACTAATATCTGTGCCATACATTCATGATTTATTGCAACATAAATGCAGTATTTTGGTTACTTGGATTATAGTGTCAGTTTAATCAATCTTAAGTTGCTTGTTTTTGTTTGTGAATTAACCATTAAATAATCACCAGTCATAGATTTGGGCTGGCTGTCTTGAGCGTTCACACACACACCTTCAGACACACATACTAGCTTTAATCAAATGAATTCCTGAGCCCCATGGTTGTGTGACGGGACACTAAATAGCTCAGGATTGAGGGTGAGAGAGAGGGCAAGAACTAGAGAAAGAGTGTGTGTGGGTGTATGTGTACTTGCATAACCTTTTTTTGGGGAGAAATGTTTACCTAAAAGTAGGGGTGTAACGGATCACAGCTCATGGTTCATCTTAAATTTGTAACCATCACAGAGAGATCGCCTCTCATGTCATTCAAATCACATGTATTAAAGCATGTAGGCTTACTGTAAAATATAATAATGACGGAGGAAGGAAGAAGTTGTGGTGAGTTAATGCCCGTGCACACCGAGACGTTTTTTGCTTGCGCTTTCCGTCGATGTTTAACGCCTCGTAACTATATAAAGTGCGTCAATGTGATTGTGCACACTAACACGCGAAACGGCAGGCGCAAAAAAAGCCTCCTTCTACTTTTTTGATTTGACGCGCCTCGTTAAAACCTTCTCCACCAATCAGGTTGGCACTTTTGATCACGTGCACGGAGCTGCTGAAGTTACAGTAAACAGCACTTGGAGGCGCTCAAGCGCAAAACTGTCAATGCAAGCGCACATGAAAGAAGATGCCCAAAGGCGATATGATTGTGGAGCTGCTTATTGCTCTGTGTACAATAATCATTTCTTCATCGCTAGAACTGGAGCTGCTACGTGAACC